ACCGTGGTTACAACTCAGATCTTGGTGAAATTAGAAAGTTAATGTCAATTCGGAAGCCATTTTATTCCATTCCAGGTTTTCAATCTGCTAAAAGTAATCAACTATTAAGAGGACTTGTCAGCAGGCAAGCTTGTCTACTTTTGTTACAATTCTTGTGAAATATAGAGGATTCGGATTCTGGGAGTGATTTTAGAGTAAATTTTTCGAAGGCAAACCTTTCTGGCGACAGGAGGACGAGGAGGGGCAGTCGGCTGTTTATCGTGTTTTGACGTTTTCGCAATAGTCCCTTGACTTGTTGTAGCACTGGATGGTTCATATCGCAGTTGTATGGGTTGCACCCGGTCGTCCAGGTGCCAGCTCATCTGCGACAGGTCGGCCATCGAATCACGGCTGTCAATTTGCGCACTACCACTATTCAGAGACTGAAAAATAAATAAGAAATTCTGTTTACAGTTAAGGAACTCTGTCCCACACAGCGAGATTTTTAACTTGCTCACTGGAAAGGCAAATACCTCCTTATATGACTACCAATCGCTTCTGACTTAACTGTCCCAATAACACGTGAAAGAGCTATTGAGGCAACTTACCCTGAACAAACAGAAACGGAGAAAAGATTTTGACAATATAACCGTCGCAATTTAAGTCGGAAATTTAGGCCTCAAAATAGAGCAATTTGTTAATTCAGCATTTTAAATCCCGTCGTTTTTTAATTTGAAATTGGTTCCACTGATTGTCACATTAATTGTCAAACTTCAGCCGCTATTTCGAGCTCCAAAATACACTGCTTTTGTCAAATAATTTGTTAATCAAATTTCATCACTTTTTTTTTCAATACCAATCCTAAACCTCTATTAATTTAGCTGATAATCCAGTTATTTTTTTTTTCAAGGCTGCATGACTTTCTTTTTGAATTTGAAATCGTGCGTTTTTTTTAATTTGACGAGTTATTCAAATTTTCGACCTTCAATGATTTCGGTAACTTTCGAAAACTTCATCACAAGCTGGCTCAGTAAC